TAATATTAACGGCAGTTCCGTCTCCCAATTCCCTCCTTGGCTTTCGAAGCCAGCCACCCCTTAAGTGTATGGTTATTCCGTTGTCATACCTTTAGTTTGCGAGTGGAACGGCGTCGTTCTTATCCTCTTGATATCGAGCTGCTCCAAAATTGATTTGAATTCGCTACTTTCAAAACAAGGACCTTGGTCGGTCAATATCATTTTCGGCACACCATGATCCGCAACAATATGCCGCATCACCACCGCAGTCACTGTCTTTGAACGTTGATCAGGAATCGTCTACCAATCGTGAAGCATGCCCCATCATCACCAACAGGTATTGGCTGCCACTAGATGTCTGCGGAAATGGTCCCATTACGTCCACAGACTATAGGCCACCCACTCCTGCTTCTGGAATTGACTGAAACGGCGGTCGTATATATATCGATCACCTTTCATCGGTTGACAATGTGGACAGCCCAGCACGTGTTTGGTAACATCTTCTCTCATACCCAGCCAGCATGCACTTTGTCTCAGAAGGTCGGCTATCTGGGTGACACCCGTATGAGCCAACTGGGGGCATTCTTGTATCACTTTGTCGCGTAGACATTTCGGAATCACTCTCAACCAGCTCCTGTCGTTTTCTCGCCTTGACAGCGTGTCATAAGTATTCACCCGCAGGCGTTCTTTCTTCGTCAACAACATTCTCAACTCTTGATTTCCCACAAATTTACTAGTCTTCGTTCTTTCAGTTATGGCTTTTATCACTTCTTTAAGTATGGGGTCCGACTTCTGAAGGCGAATCAGTCTTAATGGGTCCCGTTCTACTGCATGTAAACCGTATGGGATCTCAGGTAGTTCATTTTCTTCGTCTGATCTTGATATGAAGTCTGCCAACCGATTTTCTTTCCCTATAATGTGATCGATTGTGAAATCGTACTCTTGCAGTCGTAACGTCCAACGTGATGATTTTCCTCTGGGGTCTCTCGCTGTCTTTGGCCACTGCCACTGTAGAGGCTTATGATCAGTTTCAATATGGAATCGTTGACCGAGGAGGTACGATCTCTATTTGTCAAGCCCCAAACTATCGCCAGACATTCCTTTTCAACCGTGGAATATTTCTGTTCTGTAGGTTTCGGGACATGACTGGTATACTCCACCACTCCTTCAGTCTGTCTCAGAACTGCGCCTATTCCATAGCCACCTGCATAGGTGGACACGATGAATGACGTTTCGGGTATTGGTAATTTTAAAGTCATCTCCTGGTCATTTAGGAGTTCCTTAATGTGATCAAACGTTTTCTCTGCCTCCTCTGTCCACGTAAATTTGGGGTTACCAAGTAGATTGTATAAAGATGCCGCTATCTCACTGAAATTTTTGTGGAGCCAACTGTACAATGTTGCTCTGCCCAAGAACTATCGCAGTTTTCTCTTGGAATTCGAAACTGGTATGCTTTAGCCATCAGAATTTTCTCAGGTAATGGTTTTATTTCACCGTTTCCAACTTTATGTCCTAGTGATGTAGCACTCTTCTTGGCTACCTGAGATTTTGTCTTATTGGTAGGAAGTCCAAACTTGTCAATACGTCTTAAACCATCTTCCATCTGTTCTAGACGTTCGGCTTCTATCTGATTGTACACCACAAGATCGTCATCATACACCTCTACATTCTCTAAATTCTTCAGCAACAACATCATCAACCGTCTAAATGTAAGTCGAGCGCCTGTAAGACACTCGCTTGAACTGGTATTGCTTCTAACCCACAATAAATGCTGTTTTCGCTCTATCGCTTTATTTTATTGGTAGCCGCCAATAGCCGGACCGGAGGTCCAGAATTGTAAATACTTTTGCATTCTGTAGACGATCCAGTGTTTCAGCTACCGTCTACATGGCACACGGCCTCAGTTTCGTTATAGTATTTAACTCTCGGAAATCAACACAGAATCTGTATCTCCCATTGGACTTTCCTACTGAAAGCACTGGCGAACTGTATGGGCGGCTATCAGCCTCCTCAATAATGCCTTCACTTGGCATTTCCTGAACATGGAGTCCAACTTCTTCTTTCAAGCGACATGGTATTCGCCGTGTTATAAATCTTGTCACTGGGATTTCATGCTGAACCTTGTCACAGTATCCGTAAGGGTCCCCATCTCCCATGAACAATCTGTCGTATTTCTTAACCAACTTCATAGTGTTTTGCGCTTCTGGGTGTGGTGTTGTTGATACCTCACCTCAATCTCTGCTATCTCGTTGTTTTCCTGCGTGGTGAACGACCCGTACTTCGTCGCCACTATTCCTGTTCTCATGTTAATAACTGCGCCCACATCTCTCAAAAATCAGCATCTAAAATTGTCCGTTGTAGACACGTGGTCACAATGAATGGAAACCTAATTTCCCGACTTCCAATCTTGGCGACACAATCTGATAAGCCTGCGATTTCTAATGCATGTCCTCCAACCATGTGGACCGTTAGCGCACATGGTCTTATGTTCTGAGACTGACTCTTATCTATTAGCGAGACTGCCACCCCCACCCAGTACCTACCAAACACATGGTCTCCCGATCATTTATTCGCAATCTAGCATACACAACACCTCGGTCTATGGCTCTTACGACATCTAGTCTAGTCGGAAAAACAGAACCCATATCATATCGTTCAAAACGTTTTCTTCTTCGTCTCTCCAGACAGTTTCTTCCCCAGTGTCCCAGTTTTCCGCATGCATAGCAATTACTCACTAATATCCATGGATCGGGCTGCATTCACTAGTCGTAGCTGCTGGGCGATGGGATCCGGTACACTTTCGGTGAGCTATGCAGCCAGCAACTGCACCTAGCAGTCATCTTCCAAAGTGGACAGTGCTCATCAAAGTAGTTTTGTCAACTTCATAGCCAATACCAGCAGGCCTTCATCGATTCCAAGTTTCGTGCTCCGGAACAGCTGCATCACCAGCTTCCTATTTGCTGGGCTGTAAACTTCCGCCTCCAGGTGTTCAACCATTCCCTCCCAGACCTCATTCCCATCCATGCGTCCCATGCCGTCATATGCTGCTTTCGCTCGACCACTCAACAACGGGCCAAGCATCACAACATTCGCTCCTGGATACCGGACACTCACCAGCTTCGCGATCGACTCCAAGTCCCTGAGGAAGACGTCAATGTCTCCATCCTCGAACACTGTAGGCCAAGGAACTCTACCACGTCCAGAAGCAGCGACACCAATCGTATGAAACGACAAGACGAAGGAAGGGATGATTATTAACGTCTGATACAGTAGTCATCAAATATAGTGCACCTTGCACTAAGACAGTCATTTGCATATCGTGCTTCATTTCCTCTCCTACTTCTATCTCGATTAACTCTCAATACGTTCCCGTTGTTTCTTGCGTTTCTCTGGGCAGAACCCTTACCCATTGTTAGTAATTTCCTATGATTCCTCTCAACATATTTTACTTATATCTATTCTGATCAGCAGCGCCCACTACATAGGTACATTCTAGCTGACAAACCGCAAATTGGACGAAACATGCGTAGTGGATTCCTCTGCTAGTCACATGTATCATTCGCTTATTCATTAAATTAGCTCTTCGGTGTTACGCAATCTTATTATTCTTTCACAATCTTCTAAATATCATAATATAACTCTGACAGTGACCAACGAAATCTCAGAACGGATGCAAAAGGCTAGACTAGCTTTCGTCAACTTAGGTCACTTATCGCGCCACCGTGATGTTCGATCGTCGATTAAGGGTCGAGTGTACTGCGTCGCAGTTCACTCCGTTCTGTTGTATGGCCATTGAAGGTAGAGGATATGACAAGGCTTCAGGTTTTTAACCACCATTATCTTCAAACTATAGGCCGTGTTTCGTGTGTCACTTCATCAGTAACGTGGAAGTTAGGTGAAGAGTTTTAAGGAGAAGAGGACGACACAGATATATTCACACATCACCCTCGTTGTAGTCATGTGAGCAATTTCGCTGTCAAGAGAAAGGTACTAGGGAAGACAAGCAAGTGGATTGATGAGGTTGTGAACCTTCATTGGCTGAGGTGGCCTGGACATGTGTGTAGCGTATGCCCATCCACAGCCTACCTGGAAGTGTCATGCTAGGAGAAGTTCGATTAGGTTGAAAGAAGGTTTAGTCAGGGTGGCCAGACGAAGACGTGGCATCAGTGCATGAATTCATTTAATGACCATAGGAATCAGTGGTTGAGGAACCTTAGTGAAATTGCTGTAAATCCGTCACAATGGCGCAGATATATTCACTCATTGATGTCTTCTAAGGCTTGAATATTTACACTAAGCGTTATCTTCAAATTGTTGATTCTCTCACACAACTTTGTCTACTTTGGTATCAACCTTCTTCCATCCAACTGTTCTTTGCAGACAACTGCGAGGTGTGTCAGCTTGAACCGGTGCAGTTGTAAGCAGGGTCCTGCGTCGATTTTGTTTGCTATGTTTGTTAGTTAGTGAATCTCTCACTAGTTCAATGACTGACTTGGCTTCTTTGCCCAGTATCCTATGCTGAAGCTGAAGGCCGATCACACAGTGATCCCACCATATGCAAAACATTGTTACGAAGAAACTGATGGTTCGAGACCTGTGACTTCTTTATATCTCCTACTGCTAGGGGCTATTTCTCAAGGCGCAGAATACTTATCCTCTGAGAGATAACGGGATGCCTCGCTGGTGCCAGAGAAAACTTAAGCGTTGTCTCAATTGAACTATTGAAGTTGACATCTGTATTGCTTTTCCCTATATATTGTTGGAAAACTGATCTATTTGTATCATCAATGAAGTCTTGTCTAGTTGGACTGAAATATATTGTTAGTTAGATGGAAAATTGAAACCGGCACATAACGTGACAGTTAGAGCTGCCAAAAAAATCAACTTTATCACTTTTAAAAAAGGTGCTTACGGAAAAAGACGAAAAGACAGACTGATTTTTATAAGGCAGGTACACCGTTTTCTTTTAGAATATACCATACAGGGATAACTATGTTAACACAGCTAAGCAAATGACCTACTTGTTCATCGGGTTTCGAAGTTGGATCATGAAAAACACCTGCACGAACAAGAGCTGCTTTCCACGCTTCAACAGCTTCTTCTGAGTCTGCAGATAAATCTAGTGTTTTATGATCTTTGTAGACATTAGTTTTAGTATCTGTATGGTAAAGAACAAATGTTGGTCGTTTGGAAAAAAATCCAGTATCCCCAGCACGTTGTTTTAGTCCGTCTAAGGGAAGAACATATCGTTTCTCTTTTTCCTAAGATAAAGAAAAAAAATCAATAATTGACAAGTACTATTACCGGAACATTAAAATTAACCATAGTTCTTTAACTAATTGTTACATAAATGATTCTAATGAAAATAAATCAGATATACTTGAAAGCATACATAATTCCTGTGAGTGTGAACATATCTTAGCCAATAAGAAGAAATAGTGTATTATTCATGAACTGCATTATTTGATTAGATCAGAGAAATTTTAATTAGCACATGTAGTTAACTTGCTGGTACAACCAATAAAGGAGAGTGAATGTAAATGCTTACTGATGAAATAGTATTTAGCTCCGTTTATTCTAGTCTTACTCAGCAATCAAGTAATTAAAACACGCCGGTATGAATCGGAAGGAAGAGTTTCTCCCAACGCAGAGAAATAGGAAACAAAGGGTGGGCGAAGACAGATCAATGAACTGACTGATGTATCAAAGCAGAAGAAAAGGACTAGTTCCAAATACAGTACGCTGAACCTCATTCACTTTATATAAGTTCGCCTTCATCATCAATATAGGATCAGGCATTACTGTCTAACGGTCCAAGTTGCAATACTTCACATCAACACATCAAGTAACAAAACAATGAAATGGAAGATAAAGAAAAAAGAAACGATCAAAAGCGTGAGGAAGTGCTGAATCCCGTAAAGGGGTTAAGTCGAAGATGAAGTTTGCATACATCTGCGCCAAATGAAATCAATTCAATCTTGAGCAGTATCATCAAGAAACGATATTGAGTGACAGATTATTTCAACGCATCAGCAAATTCTGTTAACATACTTTTCTCATAACTTTAGTCTCGTGACATTAGGTCACTTGTATAAAAATCATCTTTCGACAATTTAACTTCATAGGTAGAAGAAACCTTCGAAAAAACATGTCATTGGATGTCTTAGTTTTGTTTCACGTTAGACAATTGGCAAGCGACTAATTTGAAAAACACTTCTACTGATCAGATTATTTTTACAACATGTAATGTTTGATTAACGAGGCTGTCAATGGACAGTAGTTTTATGTTGAATTTAGTTATAGATAATGGCTCCATTATTGTAAATCAATTTCTTAAGCAACAAACCAGTGTGGTTAGATAAGAAACATTTAAAAAGAATTTAAGACCCACAGAAATCTATGGACAACACCTTTGAAAAAAGAGTTACTAGAGTTGGCCGCTGTAACGATGCTAAAGAATGCAAAACTACCGAGCTTTGTTGCTCATGCATAGTTACACCATTCTGTATAACCCTATCATGAAATAGTCAACGGTCTTAAAGGAATCAACCGTCTTCATCTAATCTATCCTAGACAATGTTAAAGTTTAGTTAGCTATGCAATAAAGCATTATTCTTGAGGTAGTATTCATCACACACTAACATCGGTTGGAGGACCACTGAAAACTTGGGAGCACTAGACAGCTGTTTCGTCCTAGTATGGAACTTCTCAGTAGTACGCATCCACGACTCCGCTACGAGTTGAACTCACAACTTTCAGGTTTTAATGAGAATTTATTAGCCATTCAGCCACTAAGGTGTAGTTCAGAGGTCCAAAGTCTCCTACTTATATTAATTCATAACATAACACAACTATATCATCCACGGTTGTGGGTGCGTACCGCTGAGTTCCATATTAGGACAAAATAGCTGTTCAGTGCTCTCAGGTTTGCAGTGCTCATCCAACTGATGTCAGCCCATGATGAATACTACTTTAAAATAAAATTTTCATTAACCTCAACACGTATTGAACTATTACTCATTATTTATGGTAACGAAATTCAGTGTCAACAGAGGTAATAATAAACGTGAACGTTAGCAAGAATACAGTTTAAGCAGGATGCATTACTATGTGGTTGAAACAGTTAAATAGTTGAGTGGATTTATGTAGTGTATATAAACTATGATGACTCTATGCTGACCTTTAAAGCTATTCAAATATTTTTTTAGTAGATCATACTTATCCCAGATGGGGTTTCACATACATGATAAAAACATTTTCTATACAATCAGCATAATTTGTCTGATTTAATTAGTTCAAAACAACACCATCATAGAGTAACAGACAGTCAGAATCAACGCAGAACCTCACAGACAAGGGCATCAGTTCAACCTGGCATACTTCATAGTGGTAGTATACGAAGAACAAGTGGATAGGAAAAAACTGGTATCATAGTAGACAAAGGTGTACGCAAGGGGAGGAATTTAAAATTTATAGTCAAAGTATTCAAGCTTCAGAAGACATCAACTTCATAAGTAGAAGTCATTAGAAACCCAGCAGTTAAGATAATCAGCTGTCCAGGAATTGATTACAACGTCTAACCGACGACTCATCCAATTTAATCGAACAAACTTCATAAAGATAATCTAACTGAAAATATCTCTTTTAGCTACTGAAGAAACGAATCAATCGAGAACCCCATAGATGAAGATAGAAAAAAAAAGCACTATAGATCTCGTAACATGAAAAGAGAAGTCATATAGTGTCGGAAATTGAAAAAACTAATCAATTGAGAGGTCGTATTCGCATAAAGGAGATATCGCATAGCCGTCAAGAGACAGTATCAATAGCTCCCCTGACCGGGCATATATACATGTCTATGCCATATATATATAACCTTAAAATAACCTATATGGATGTTTTCACACCGTTGCTAATTTTTCTTCCCTCTGCTCTAAACGCTGAACTCTCACTGGTTGTTAACTATTTTTACCTATATGTGAATTTAGTGCTGTCAAAGTCATTTAGAAATGTATATATTCAACATCACTGTCAACTGTGTTAATTGTTGTTGAGACAGTGAAAAGCTCTCTGTCAGTAGTCCATCTTCTCTCCTTGTCTTTGCGTGTCAGCGATTTTGTTGTGGTAATGGTTGATGTTCTGATTTGTGTTAGAGTCGATTCGTATTATTCGTAGTCTGCTAGGCGCGTATCGCTCGTAGGCTGTTAGGTCGTACTACCAGTCACAGCAATCTGAACAATATTAAACTGTAACAGCTATCGGCTAGAATATACCAATAGTGGTGTTTTTCCATTATATCGGAATATACCAAGACATCGGTAGTTGAAAACCACCAATATCAATTAGCAATACATATGATTTCAGTTTTTTGGATGGAATCCACTTGAGTAGACTGAGTGTCGATTAACTCAGTCATGTACGTTCAGGGCAAATGTGTAGTGATTATATCACCTACTTCAGTGTCGGTAGAGAATAGAATCGGAGACTAATGTGAATAATTATCAATCACTTTTCTCAGCTAAGAAGAAGTTGTGGTATTATATCGTTTGTAGGTCACAGGCTCGAACACCACTCCCTCCAACTACCGAGGTTTCGAGAGCCACGTAGTATCACTGGTCCTCACACAATAGGTGTGACTCAATGTCTGATATACGAATGTGCACACGGTTGATGAGATCATTTCGATTTGACCTTTTTGTATGTAAGTTGTAAATCCCTATCGACTTAGAATTAGATTAGGAGAATAAGATGTAAAGTGATTGTGTTAGCTGCATAAAACTAATTCTCTCTGTCATACGACAAAAACAGACTTCTTCTGGTTACTATACAGTGAGATACAATAAATGAAACATTCTCTTCTACATGATTCAATGATAGAATAAACTGTTGAAGATGGACTAAAAATCAGTGCAGGTACCTAGAAGCTGATAAAGCTACTTGACCAGACTATCATTTCATTTATAATTTATAATCTTCCAGCATTATTCAACTAACTACGATAGGAACAGGATGAAATCAGAAGCTTTCTCGAGCTCTACTGTTAAATGTAACAGGTTTTGAAATTAGATTTCAATAGTCTGTTTCATATTCCTCGTGAAATTACAAAACACATTCAGTTGGTCCAAGAGAATATAGGAATGAATTGATGGTTAGTGTAGTCATGGATGGGCTTCGAGTCTTTGAAATCATCTTGGTGACTAACGGTGGAATCCAGAACACCTGCTTCAACCCATCTAAGACTCATCAACTAGATGAACCTGAACTTCAGTGAGTGATGTTGGCCTCGTTGAGATTCGAGCCCAGCACCCATCGCTTCAAATGTCAAGGCGTTATCCACTGGGGGGCACGAGAGCCATCTCTTGTGCAACACATATCAGATGGTGTTCATTGATACTTGTAATCTCCCGTTGCTATATCCGGCCGAATTGTTAGACAGAGGTCAGCCTTCGGTAATTCGCTAGAAAGGTAGTTTTTGGCTTTTAGGGTCACTCAAGTAAACCACTAGACTTTAATTATATAAAAGTCGGAATGATGTGATTCATGGCTTCGTAACAGCAATTCTGATGTTCAATCGAATAATCCTTTTTATTTAGGTAAAAGTACAATTAGATAGACAAACACAAAATTTATTGAAGGCCAACTAACTACTACTCCATTCGTAGACATAAAAACTGATGAGGAAATTATCTTCGTTAAAAAGTGGCTGTTTACATGATCCGTAATCCAATATAATAGTCGAATATTCAGATAAAAAGACAGCTGAAAACTTTCAATATGATCTTCATTACATCAAACGTACATGCCAAATAGGTCGGCTCTAAGTACTTTCAATTGGTCAGTAAAAGTACATCAGTATTACACCCAAAAGATAACTGAAAACTGTCTGCAGCATGCAACAAAATAGTCGTGGTGGCGGTGGGGAATTTGACATTGTATGAATAACTCAAAGCTCAAAAGATGTATTATAGTAAAGAGCATTAAGCCATAATCTGGATTTACTGATGAATGCATTCACTATACCTATCTAACCATATTCACGGTCCTTACATGAGCCTGCACTATTACACATTGAAATGTATCATCACGCCAATAAACAAAATGGAGAAGGAAACTAACCTCTGATAAGAGTGGCTTTAAAAATCACCCTGGGAACAGCTGAAATAAACCATCACTTTCAAGCCTATTTAACCGAGAGGTAGTTTTTTGATAAAATAGAGAAACTTTATTGGCTATCTCACCAGTTATTGAGGCAGCCTTTAAA